TATTCGGCAACGATTCCATGGGCAGTCGCACTAGCTCCATCTGGTGTGGATCTCCTACTGGCAGTCACCCGATGTGACGTCACCAGTCGGAGAGCTCGACAAGTCGGAGCTTTTGATAGAACACCGGCATGTGACAGCTGCAGTAGTCACCAGAACTAGTGTCCCTATTGGAAGATTTCCCATCTACTCCTGTTCTGGTGACAACTCAAAATTTGGACTTTTCTTTCACTTTCAGTGATAATGGTCACTAGGACATGGGGTGAACCCTAACTTTTTTTCCTTACAGGTACATTTTACACCTACTGATAGGTGATTTGTAAAGGGGGACAGGGGGCCCGGACAGTGTATGAGGACCTTGCATTATACTGCAAGGTCCACCTTAAGTGCACCCATTTTTGGGGGGGGGGCATACGCCAACGCCTTTTAATAAACAATGAAAATTTAATGTTTTCCAGACATATTCATCAAAAGACATCCAGCCCCATAAGATGGCTTCCTCTAGAAATCTGAGCAGGTTTTGGGAGTGGGGAAGAAAAATAATCTGCGTCGGGCGGAATTACGCGGAACACGCCAAGGAGCTGAAAAACGAGGTCCCCGCCGAGCCGGTTTTGTTCCTTAAATCTCCCTCGGCCTACGTGAAGGAAGGCGCGCCTGTTCTCCTGCCATACTACACCAATAACCTGCACCATGAAGTGGAGCTCGGCGTGGTCATCGGTAAAGGAGGTACAAACATAGCTCAGTCAAACGCCATGGACCACGTAGAGGGCTATGCTCTGTGCCTGGACATGACCGCCAGGGACATTCAGGACCAGTGCAAGCAGAAAGGTCTCCCGTGGACTTTGGCCAAAGCCTTTGACACTTCATGCCCAGTTAGCGACTTCATCCCCAAAGAAACCATACAAGACCCCCACAACCTGAAGATCTGGTTGAAGGTGAACGATAAGCTTAGACAGGAAGGACATACTTCTTCAATGATCTTCTCCATCCCATTCCTCATCAGTTACATCAGCAGGATCATCACCCTGGAAGAAGGAGACCTGATACTGACGGGGACACCAAAGGGAGTCGCTGCCGTGAGGGAGAATGACGAGATGGTGGCGGGCATTGATGACATCATCAGCATGAAGTTTCAGATTAAAAAACATCTACAGTGAGGGATCAATGGGTTGTGTAGGCCAGAGTTGTATAAATGAGTCTTATTTTTACGTTCCCTCTTTACTTGTTGACCTCCAATCATTTTTGACAGATGTAAGGGCCAGTGTTGATGGGTCAATGTGAATGCAAAAGCAGGTTGGTGCAGCTTAGAAGAAGGGCAGTGCAGGTCAAAAGAAGGACAACTAAAGGTCCAATGTTCCTCTCAATGAACTGTGAATCATCTCCAAAGCCCATGGATACAGGCCCTAAGACTATGTGTCATATCAGAGGTTTAAAGCCCCACTCAAGCCAACACTTTTTATTTTGTCTTGGATAAAGTAGGGGAGAGCTCCTGCCAGGTCTTTACTGATGTCCAATTCCCTGTTGGTGACATTTCCCCTCCTACCGAGACAGGAAGTGGCGGGAAATGTCTCCCACGAGCACACAGACAAAAACACCCTTCCATTAAAGGAGAACTATAAGGCCTTGTTCACACCAAATGCAGAGCAGATCCGCTCAGGTTTCTGCACACGCAGTGCAGTGGGCTGGGCCGTGTTTTTGATGTGTTCCGGGCCATTTTTGGTTAAAACATATTTTTTTTTAGTTTAACATGGGCTTTCAGTGCGTTCCAGGCATTTGCATGCATTTTTGATGCGTTCCAGAGCAGGTAAAATAGGGCTTGCTGCAGTTTTTTTACCTGCTCTGGAACTGAACGCTGCGATGTGAACTGGAGCAAAAAATACCATTGGAATACATTGGACGCAGTTTTGCTCCGGTCTGTAACTGCTCTGCTCTGCACCTGCTCCACGCTTGGTGTGAACAAGGCCTAAGGTAAGTTTTTTTTCCCCCGTAGTTCTCCTAAGGGTCACGGGAGGACATCAACTAGCGTCCTCCCGTGACCCAAAGCTCAGTATACCGCGAGCTACAGCTCGCGGTATACTGAGACCGCTGCAGCCAGGACGGATCCCGACATTACTGTCGAGATCCACCGAGCTACGTGAGTGACAGCTGGCTCTGCCTATCTAGAGGCAGAGCCTGCTGTACCCGCCCCCTCCCCAGTCCGTTCCTCCAGTCAGCGCTGGAGGAGCAGGGAGGGGGGAATCCCTGCAGAGAGCCGTGAGTGACAGTCACGGCTCTCTGCAGGAAGATGATCGAGTGACGGTATGAGTTCGCTCACTTCCCGATCTATTGACGTGTAACAGTTTCATCGTCACAGGTCGGCTTGAACTATGAGGATGAGTGAAAATCACTCACCTCATAGTCCTCCTTCAAGCTGCGTTCACATGGGGCTTTCTGGGATTCTTGGGGCAAAAACCTACAGATTCTTGACGCTGGAATCCCTAGAGCCCTGGTGTCTCCATTCAAGTTAATGATCAGGTGACAGCGGCCGCATCTGGCTAGATGCGCCTAAGGACAATCATTTATTACAAACCACAGGTATTCGTGCTATGTACCTGCGGACTGCCACTGACATGCGGCACCTGGGAATCTAGGTTATTGCTGCAGGAATCCCAGAAAACAGCATCAGTCCTCCTGTGAATGGGGCCTTAGAATGTGAAAAGCATTAGAATGTCTGATCATTTTTATTGCTGTCTGTCCATGTGACAGCTACACCCCATTTCTTGTATGGGAATAAGAATTGAGGTGGAAAAAACCCTAAAAGGCAGAAATAAAATCCTGAGACAAATTTGTAAATCTTTCTCACTCTATCCAAAAATAAAAACATTTGGGCTGGAGTCAGGTTTTATTCAGTTGTAGACATTGGGTGTGGTACACGTGCCCAAAATAACGCCTACAGAGCGTATGTAATACCCTCTGTCCGTCTGATCCCTGCTGATCCCCCTTTCACGTTTGGCTGGCAATTCCCTGTTGTAAACATGACAGCCAGTAGTGTTGAAGTGTTGTGTAAATACAGCCACTTTACCAGCAGATAAAAAAAATGGACCTTCTGTAAACTCAGTGTTTCTAAATACTGTTCGGATGCAGGATAGAGAAATGAGGCAATGTTGTATATGCAGAACGAGGGGATGAGCTTCCATCTGCATATGATGTCATCTAAAGACTTGGTTCTCAACTGGTGCCGAGTGTCAGCTTGAGGTGGGGTGGGCTGGGGGTATGGCCGTGAGGGAGCTCCATCCATACATACGTGCATTGCTTACAGCTCCCTCACGTGTCCTGGACCGGAGTGACGTCACGTTCTGGCTCCCGGAACCTCTACAGGGCACAGAAGGGAGCTGTACAAGCAATGCACATATGGATGGAGCTCTGTCACAGCACAGCAGCCCACACTGGACCCCAGGCTGAGGATTGTGTCTGTCAGTGTTTTTGAGGGCCCATTCACACTAGTACACTGCGTTAATTGCACAGTTCCAAGCCAAATCGCACCTACCTTCTGGTGTGGGCGGCGTTTTGCATTGCCATTCATTCCAATGGCACCCCAAATGCACCTCCCATCCACAATTCAATCGCCCGCACTGGAATGCGTGGTACCGCAATGCCGTGCGATATGACTTGGGGCACGACTTAATGACCAAGGACAAATGTGGGTCCTGAGGTTACACAGGTTGAGAACCACTGATCTAAAGCAACCTGACAAGTTAAATAAAATATATATATAGATGTTCCCATTTTAACCCTTAGTTTACCCTAATCAGCCCTAATTAATTCCTTCATCTCTTTTTCCCCAAAACTGTTATTTTTTTCTTGTTTATTTTTCTAACCATTATTTTTAAAGTTTTAAAACTCCTTTAAAAAAAAAAAACTTTTTTCATTGGTAAATAACTTTGCAATCTTTTGTACCCAAATCATAATTTTAGGGTAATGTTAAAGCAAATTATAAAATAAAATCTATACATGCTATCTACGGTAACGCTTTTTTTCCAACTAAGACTGATCAAAGTGGGAAAAAGTTCCTTTATTTCTGTTATGAGATTATATATGGATTGCATAAAAAATATTACCAACGAATATACACTGAGTGGCCAGATTATTATGACCACCTGACGTTTGTAGGCAAATTAGCTATAATTTCGCGCTGAAGTTGCTAGAGGGCCAGACCATTATAAATAGGGAAGCAGGTTGTTTACCACGACAGTAGAAGTCATTTGTTTCTGAAGTTACGGGGAAACAACAGCCTTTGCATGTGGGATGATTGTTGGCGCTCGGAGCCATGGAGCGAGTATCAGCAAAACAGAATTCGTTAAAGGAGAACTATGGGGTTAAGGCTTTTACCCATAGTTCTCCTTAGGGTAACGGGGGAACACAAACTAGTGTCCTCCCGTCACCCTAGGCTCAGTATACCGCGAGCTGTAGCTTGCGGTATACTGAGACGCCGCAGCTGAAGCAGATCCGGAAACAGGGAGTCGGGAAGGGTGGGCGCAAAAATGCACCTTGCCTGTGTAGACAAGAATCCTAGCACCGGCCCTGCCTAAAGGGTAGATAGAGGTCAGCAATGGCAGCCCATTGATTTCTGTTACTTGTAATAGTCTGTAGTTCAAGCACATGACCACAAGGTGGCACAACACAACCACTCAATGATACTGATCAACAGAAGGATGAAAGGAGAGTAGAATGCAGAATGAAGCTTGCAACATTTTACTTCTAGCCCATGTTACAGCAAACTACATCTTGATCACAGAAATACATTTACCAGTTATGTTGTATTGCTTTTACTGAAGACTGACTGAACTTTACTGTATTATGTAAACTCGGATATAAGACGGCATTATAATAAACGCAGGTTGAAGAAACAAACTTTGAAAACACTTTTCAGCTATGCACTGTAGTTTCTAATGTATATCTTACTGAACCATGTAAGCGGATCAGTTCTGCCACTTCTGTGAGCTCTACACACATGTGAAGTAACTTCAATGATTGCCTCCGGAGAGCATGTACTTCACTGCCTCGGTAGGATCCGCTACCTTACACGACAGAATGTTCACACGCAGATTGTTTTTAGCTTTCGGTGAAAAAGAAACCTGTAAAAAAGAAAGAAAAGTTCAATAAGCTGTGTAGATGTCAGGCATGGGAGGTCTACTTATGTGTGCGTATTAGAGGTACTGAAGTGGTCCTAGTCTTCATATACAGCTAAAACGACACCTTGTGATACCTGTGTGGGGAATTTTGGACCCATTTGCTTCTATTTTGGATGTTTATCAAAGACCAGTAAGAACAGAAGCATTAAACCATTGCTTATGGCTCATTCACATGGGCGTGCACATCAGTACGGCCTGCACGCCCATGCAGAGACCTGCTCCTGGGAGGGACAGGTGCTGCGTGTAATCGCGCGCAGACGCCTGTACCTCACTATGAGAGGATGCAGCTACACGCTGACCTGCACATTTGTTCCGGTACGGGTGCTCACAGTTGGTCAGAGGTGTTTAAGGTGATATACACTGCCTGGGCTAAAAAAAAGTCACATACTCTAAGCCTCATTCACACTATGCGTTTTGTAGCACCCATTTCTATGGCCATGTTCACATCTGAGCGTACGTGAGGTTTTTTTTTTTTGGCAGATCCCGCGCTTCCTGGCCCAATAGACTTCAATGGAAATGCTTTAAGGATGCAGTCCACTCACAATACCTTCTGTTTAAGCGGTAGCCCACTTTAATTTCAAGGAAAGTTCACACATCCACATTGGATACTCTTGCAGGGGTTGTTCAGCATAACCTCCACGCAATGCTTGCACCATAACACAAGTTTAGCATCCTGGCTTCTACTTTTAACATTAATCATTCTGACCCACCAGCCCTCTCTGTAGTGCTGTCCCACACTTGTACTGGCAGCCCCTCAGGCTCTCGTAGCCTCACCAGTTCTCCCAGCCTCCCTGGCTGTCTCCACGGTGCCTCCAGCACACAAATCACCTGACTCCACTTTGACTTCTGGGGGAGTCCTCCCGACCCCTGAACACGGTCTGTTCCTATTCCCCAGCAGGAGATAATTCCCCTTGTCAGCATTCCTTTCCTTGATGGCTGTGCACACCTGTGCAATCATTGGGTGCTGGTCACAGCTAAAGCCTGGACCCAGGACTGGAGCTTTCTTCCCTCCTGAATCACTTTGAGACCTCCCGATCCCGGATCCCAGGCAGAATCCAGAAAAACCCTTGCTTCCTGACACCAGCACATCCCAGAGATTCTCAATGGGGTTCAGGTCTGGACTCTGTGGTGACCAATCCATGTGTGTCAATGATGTCTCATGCTCCCTGAACCACTCTTTCACACTCTGAGCCCGATGAATCCTGGCATTGTCATCTTGGAATATAAAGGTGGCCATACACTTTACAACCCTCGCAAGACATCGGTCTTGCGAGGGTTGTAAAGTAATTTAAAAAACGTACGATCTGCCCATCTTGGACAGGCAGATCGTACTTGCAATCATCGCAAGCCCGCCCCCCTGAGGGGCGGGCTTCCGATGACCGCAATGCTGAACGGGCACTGTGCGCGTGCGCACACCGGCCCGTTCGTCATTTGTCTTCCGAGCACCGCTCTAACCAGCCGAGAATCGTACGATTCCCGGCTGGTTTTCGAACATGCTGGTTCGACAGAAGACGTGCGACCGTACAGTAGAAACGGTCGCACGTCTCCAGTATTTTGTTGTGTTTTGGCGCATTAAATTACATTTTTCACTAAATGTTGGGGTTTAATAAGGAGTTGCGCTAATATTGCGCAACATAAAAATTTGCAACTACCACCATTTATTCTATAGGGTCTTGGCATTCAGAAAATATATAATGTTGGGGGGTTTTAAGTCATTTTCAGGCCTAAAATGTGTAATATAACGTGGGTGCAAAAAATGAAAAAAGGGCCTCGGTCATGAAGGGGTTAAGGGAAGAAAAAAATCCATTGATGGAAAAACCTGGTCATTCAATATATGCAGGTTGTCAGCTGACATTTATTTGGCACATAACATTGCTGAACCTAGACTTGACCAACTGGAGCAACCCCTATGATGCTTATCTATTTGCTTAGCTAAATCCAGGTGGTGACTTTTTTTTTTAATTTGGCCAGGCAGTGTATATGAAGCCTACAAATTTTCAGAATATTGAGTATAATTAGTTACCGTAATCTTTTTGTTCTTATTTTACATCTTATGCTAATAACATTTTGTTTTTACTTATTTGTATGTACTGGTAGCTTAAGAGTCCTACTTCAGAAAAGATGTTGAATGTACCATGATCAACTACCAACCCAACACACTCATTCTTTTCCCCTTAAAAAGAACAATTTACCACTGGGCATCTTTAACAATAAGAATGTTTACTATTGAACTACCTGATTTGTTGTATTTCCTTGCATTCTCTCCCTATTGGGACAACAGTGTCAGGTTGTAGGGCCATTCCACCATCTGCTTAAGCTCAGTGTTGATAACAGACATATTTAAATTATCATATAACAAAGGTGCTGTCAGGATTAGTGAAATGTGAAATTGACACTTTTTTCCTCCAGCGGCAGGAAGAATGTCAGCTATCAGGAGAAAGGTTGGGCTCATTGGGAGCCTTGCAGCCTGATACTTAGCTAACATATCTGCTTTGACGGGGAGAGAATACAAATAAATAACAGCACACACACCTATCTCTGCACTATTACCCTTACCCTGTGACTGGACAGTGAAAGAAGAGGCAGCATGCTGATGAGCTCATCTCTATCACTTCCATCAATATGCTCCTTGCATTGCAGCACACCTTATGCTGCTTTCTTCTACCCCCCTGAGCTCTGCTGCACTGCCTAAACAGCGGAGTGCAAGTGGCTGATACCAACTCAAATTCAGAACATTTACAATGCTTGTATTTTTTTTAAAATGCATATGATGTATTAATGATTACAGAGCTGCACTAACTTGTGTCTTTTATATTTCCATGAATTTAGCCTTATGGGCTAGTTCAGACAAATCTCAGTGCGTTCTGGCCTGATTTTGGTCAGAACGCACTGGATCGCATTCCAGCCGCCTCACTTTGTTTTGGGGCGGGAGGGGGCGTGGCAGTGCATTGAACTCCATGGCACTGTAGCCACGCCCTCCAGCCACAGTGCGATCGGCCGCACGGGAACGCAAGGCACATCAATGCCTGCAGTCCGGTCGGAAAAAATGCTGCAGGCACTATTTTTTCGGACCCAACCAGAACGCAGGCATTGATGTGCCACGCCTTCCCGTGCGGCCGATTTTACTGCATGGTGCTGTAGTGTCAAAGTAACAGGGACAGAGGGATTGATTCGATCGTTTTAAACTAGGGGTTAAACCGCCTGTCACCTGCACTGGCCATGGGCGATTCCCCCTTTTTTTTGCACAGCTAGTTTTTTAATAGCATCACATTACAAAACGGCGTGCGTAGAAACCATATTTAAATCACATACAATTTTAATGAAAACTGAGTTTTCCTTTAAACCATTCACCTGCTTTTCTATTAAAGCGGTGTTTTCCTTTAAGTGATTTGTAGCAATAGGACTGGTGTTTAGAATCCTGGAGATGACAAGTCTATTTGAGATTTCTCACCTTCACATAGATCTTGAAGCGCTCCAGCACAAAATTCCATTTCAGCGATGTCTTCTGGTCTTCTGTTAAATTGAAAAATCCATCTACCTAAATCAAACACATGGAAATGCGCCATGAAAAATCATTATGACTTGTGCGGTGAGGAAACGGCAGCGATTACTCTTCCTGGCAAGGAATTAGAGGTGATGTATTGTGCGGCGTCATTTGAAATGCAAAATAAGCGGGGAGATACTTGCCGTGCATGATAATGTGTCCTCGGCCACCTTGTCTGATAGGTTACAAGGCAGAGTCCCGGTGTGATCGCTGATGTCCATCTGCAGATCCAGACTAAGGAGGGCAGATTTAGGGTTCTGGGACATCTCGTTGCAGAAGGCATAGTTACATCCTTCTGACTCATCCTTGATGAAGTAACGGCAACGAGAGCTGAGAAAATAGTTATGTCATTACATATTTTTTGGTATACAGGGAAAATATAACGTTTATCACTAAAAGGAAGCATTCTGAGATATTGCACGCTATCAAAAATGTAAAATCAGAGGTATTTTTACTACTGTATGCAGAAGACCTAAAGCTGAACTCCATTGCTAATGCCCTACCATCCATTCGCTCTACATCCCCCCTCACCCCCTACTACCCCTCCTCCTCACTTTTCCCCACTCTTTTCATACCTCCCCCTTCCCTACCCTTATCATACTTCCCCATTCCCCCACCTTCTTACCCCTTCCCCTTTTTTTCCTTTGTTTCCCTTGCTCTCACCCCAATACCCCCACCCCCTACTGGTTGGAACATTGCCTAGCTAGGAAGGTCCCCCATGGTCCACCCAACACACCTGCCACCCTCTACCTTTCTCTCTGTCACGGAGACAAGTCTATAAGACGCTACCCCTAACGGTTCAGTCGCAACACACCAGGCCAATTTCTTGACATCACATCTCCATCTAACATCTCTCTGTGATATCCCTCTCCCGGTTTTTCCCTGCCATATACCCTCGAATGTCTCAACTCACGCCTGCCACCTCTATGACATTTTAGAAAGGCCTGTGTGACATCACTGAAGTTCTGGTGGTGGCCCTTCTCCAAGTACTCGAATAGACCTGCCTGCAGCTGTGGACGTTGCTGTGGTAAGTATGAATGTACAACCCCTGCATTTCTGATGGTGCAGGTTTTGAGGCTGATCTGAGGGGTGAAGGTGCATGGAATTGGGGTGATCTGAGGGGGGAAGGTGCATGGAATTGGGGTGATCTGAGGGGGGAAGGTGCATGGAATTGGGGTGATCTGAGGGGGGAAGGTGCATGGAATTGGGGTGATCTGAGGGGGGAAGGTGCATGGAATTGGGGTGATCTGAGGGGGGAAGGTGCATGGAATTGGGGTGATCTGAGGGGGGAAGGTGCATGGAATTGGGGTGATCTGAGGGGGGAAGGTGCATGGAATTGGGGTGATCTGAGGGGGGAAGGTGCATGGAATTGGGGTGATCTGAGGGGGGAAGGTGCATGGAATTGGGGTGATCTGAGGGGGGAAGGTGCATGGAATTGGGGTGATCTGAGGGGGGAAGGTGCATGGAATTGGGGTGATCTGAGGGGGGAAGGTGCATGGAATTGGGGTGATCTGAGGGGGGAAGGTGCATGGAATTGGGGTGATCTGAGGGGGGAAGGTGCATGGAATTGGGGTGATCTGAGGGGGGAAGGTGCATGGAATTGGGGTGATCTGAGGGGGGAAGGTGCATGGAATTGGGGTGATCTGAGGGGGGAAGGTGCATGGAATTGGGGTGATCTGAGGGGTGAAGGGGCAGGAATTGGGTCTGATCTGAGATGTGAAGATACAGGAAATGGGTGCTGATCTGAGGTTATGAAGGTGCAGGAATTGGGTCTGATCTGAGGGGTGAAGGTGCAGGAATTGGGGTGATCTGAGGGGTGAAGGTGCAGGAATTGGGGTGATCTGAGGGGTGAAGGTGCAGGAATTGGGGTGATCTGAGGGGTGAAGGTGCAGGAATTGGGGTGATCTGAGGGGTGAAGGTGCAGGAATTGGGGTGATCTGAGGGGTGAAGGTGCAGGAATTGGGGTGATCTGAGGGGTGAAGGTGCAGGAATTGGGGTGATCTGAGGGGTGAAGGTGCAGGAATTGGGGTGATCTGAGGGGTGAAGGTGCAGGAATTGGGGTGATCTGAGGGGTGAAGGTGCAGGAATTGGGGTGATCTGAGGGGTGAAGGTGCAGGAATTGGGGTGATCTGAGGGGTGAAGGTGCAGGAATTGGGGTGATCTGAGGGGTGAAGGTGCAGGAATTGGGGTGATCTGAGGGGTGAAGGTGCAGGAATTGGGGTGATCTGAGGGGTGAAGGTGCAGGAATTGGGGTGATCTGAGGGGTGAAGGTGCAGGAATTGGGGTGATCTGAGGGGTGAAGGTGCAGGAATTGGGGTGATCTGAGGGGTGAAGGTGCAGGAATTGGGGTGATCTGAGGGGTGAAGGTGCAGGAATTGGGGTGATCTGAGGGGTGAAGGTGCAGGAATTGGGGTGATCTGAGGGGTGAAGGTGCAGGAATTGGGGTGATCTGAGGGGTGAAGGTGCAGGAATTGGGGTGATCTGAGGGGTGAAGGTGCAGGAATTGGGGTGATCTGAGGGGTGAAGGTGCAGGAATTGGGGTGATCTGAGGGGTGAAGGTGCAGGAATTGGGGTGATCTGAGGGGTGAAGGTGCAGGAATTGGGGTGATCTGAGGGGTGAAGGTGCAGGAATTGGGGTGATCTGAGGGGTGAAGGTGCAGGAATTGGGGTGATCTGAGGGGTGAAGGTGCAGGAATTGGGGTGATCTGAGGGGTGAAGGTGCAGGAATTGGGGTGATCTGAGGGGTGAAGGTGCAGGAATTGGGGTGATCTGAGGTGTGAAGGTGCAGGAATTGGGGTAATCTGAGGTGTGAAGGTGCAGGGCTTGGGGATGATCTGAAGTGTGAAGGTGCAGGAATTGGGTCTGATCTGAGGTGTGAAGGTGCAGGAATTGGGGTGATCTGAGGGGTGAAGGTGACGGAATTGGGGTAATCTGAGGTGTGAAGGTGCAGGAATTGGTTATGATCTGGGGTCTAAAGGTGCAAGAATTCTATCTGATCTGAGGTGTATGGCATGCTGTATTTTTCACTGGCATGCTGGTTGTCTAATGCTTTTAAATTGACACCCTGGCTGGCTTAGACCATCTATTCCAATAAACAGTCACCAAGAAGGACTTTCAGTTCTATATAACATTGCTCCAAATGCAAGCGTCATTGTTTAATAATAATTTAGAAGTCAGAGTACAAAATGAAGCCATACACTCACCATCTAGCTCGAACAATTTTCTTAACGCTGTCATCGACATTCAGCAAGGAGATAAACGCAAACACAATACCATACAGAGGATTCCTTTTATCTGCAGCATGAGAAGCGGCATCCATTATTTGCTGCACTGTGTATACATCTTTGATTGTTTCCACTACAAAAGAAGAAGGTTCTGTTAAGTTTTTAATTTCTTCAAATTAAAGAGCAACCCCAGGCAACAAGAAAACCATTCATTCACCTGTCATAAGGAGACATTTACCAGAAATGTAACCACTGGAAAAGGAGGACTCCTCAGACCAAAATAAGGTAAACCTAGGATAAGGGGTCCCATGTGGAAGAAGGGATCTGGGGAACTTCAAATGTTTCATTTCAGCCCATGGTGTGAAATAAAAGCAGTTGTTTATGGGTGTCTGTGCATCCAACCATCATATACACAGGAAGAAATCTCGAGCATTTCATAGCTGTCAATATTGTAGCTGTCATCTCCTTCCCCTCAGACTACCAATGATCTTTGAGCAAGGTGAGCACAGACAGGAGGATCGTGTTATTGGCATATCAGCAGTGTTGTGAAGACCAGATTTCTTGGTTTCTTTTTTTAGCAATGTCAAAATACCTACAGCTATCAAGGTGCCTCTATGAAAGGTAAAGTATCTGTAGTGAGTGAACTAGACTGCCTTTTGTTGGCCATACACCATGCTTGAAATCAACAGGACTTGGCCGAAACTTGAGCTGTGTGTGGCCCGGTCAGCCGAACAGTAACCAATCAGCTGTTTGGGTATTCTGACATTTGCTCGTACCGACCATCAGAATACAAAAGCCCATCAGGACAGATTTTGCCATCCACGCTGTTTAACATAGATCGGGGAATGGATTGTTTTTTTTCTTTTTCAAGAACAAGAAAGAACACCAAGTGTACGGTCAGCTGTAGAAATAAAGTCTGATGAGGCAGTTACATTAGAGCATTGCCTTGTCTACTTACAATTCACTAACTCTGTTGCCGTTTCTTCGCTGGCTTCCACAAAGGCTTCATTCTCAGCACATTCTCTCGCATGGTTCAATAAGTCCTGTGCTTGTGGTATATCTAGTTAAAATAAATAAATACATAAAGTTTATTAACCTGCACTGAGTTGTTGAAAATCTGTAAACCATGCCCCCCCCCCCCCCACCCATTAGGGCTAGTTCACACCAGAACTGTGTGCGCCTGCATAGCTGCACTACGATGCGTTTTATTGCGATTGATGCGTCTTTTTTTGTTTTGGTCTTTTTTTGCTTAAAGGAGAACTATGGGGTTAAGGCTTTTCACCCATAGTTCTCCTTAGGGTAACGGGAGGACACAAACTAGCGTCCTCCCGTCACCCTATGCTCGGTATATGGCGAGCTGTGGCTCGCGGTATACTGAGATGCCGCAGCTGAAGCAGATCCCGACAATTGTGCCGGGATCCGCCCAGCTGCGTGACTGACAGCTGGCTCTGCCTATCTAGAGGCAGAGCCAGCTGTACCCGCCCCCTCCCCCGTCCGATCCGCCAGTCAGCGCTGGCGGATCGGAGCGGGGAGGGGGGAATCCAGCCCCTCCCCTGTCACGGCAGAGAGCTGTGACAGGATCGAGAGGTGAGCAAACACCGGTATGTGTTCGCTCACCTCCCGATCTACTGAGCCGACCTGTGACAGTCTCATTGTCACAGGTCGGCTAGAACTATGAGGTGAGTGAAAAGCACTCACCTCCTAGTTCTCCTTTAAAATGGGATTTCAGGTGCATTCCTGTGCGTTTGCATGCGTTTTTAATGTGCTCCATTGCGATCCCGTGTAGCTAAAATAGGGCAAGCAGTATATTTTTTCTGACTGCATCGGAACGGACTGCACTGGTGTGAACAGAGCACCAAGGTGGACCTAGTGTCATGTTAAAGTGTAACTATGGGCAACAACAAAAACATGTCATATATGATGCAGCCTATCATTAACGTTAACAGCTTTTTTGTGCTTCTCTGAGTCCTCCTTTGTAATATTGTTTTAATACCTTTTGATCCTGCCACCAGATCAGTTATTTTCCCACTTCCTGCAATAGGGTGACAATACTATTAATACGAAGGTGGCAAGGTAGCCTTTGATGGGCATGTAGTTTTACCCTTTTGCGGGCCACTTCTTTTTTTCTTCTTTTTCTCTTATTTTTTGTACACATGTGAAAATGCACATTTTAGGCCTGAAGAATACAGAACCACTGAACACCCCCTTCCAAAAAAACCCAAAACAGTATTTTGTTTCTAAAAGCAGAGATCCTCTAGAACAAAATACAGGGGCTTAGCACAAGTTTACATGAAATTATTGCGATTTTAAGGGACACTCTATCACTGATTACCTGGATTGGGGGTGAAGATGGTTTTCGACACCACAGTTGCCACCATTGAATTTCGGAATGAGTCATGGTTTATGCGTAGCTCCGATGCAAATAAAACTAGATGTAATAAAAGATTAACAAAGTAACACGATTATTTTACTAGTAACATTTCATCTCTTGTGT